TCAAACAATTACACAAATAAATATGAACTTGGAGCCGACCAGGGAAATGGGAAGAAAAGGATCGTGTTGATAGAGAACTAGAATGTTAGAGAGAACCCAGTGGCTGACTTTGGATTCGGGGAGTCACATGAAGTGTCACGTGTGATGGGTGAGCATGAGAGAGAAAGATAAATGAAGGACAGATAAAGGGTTCGGCCGGCATCACGGGGTGCCAGGCAGGGAGATGGGAGCACACGTAGCTGCGGTCAGAAAGCAGCTCCAAAGTTTACGAGAAGAGCAGTTACAAGACAGACAGGGAGAACTGCTATTTGTAGCCTTAGAAAAGAAACGAAGCCCTTTCACGAGTATATGCTCCAACACCCACTCTCAAATAAGAGACTGGCCCAGGCCAAATGTCTTAGCAACTAACCATATTAATCCCCAGTCAACTTTTCTTTCCCTTTCTTAAAAGCCATTACTGTTGCACTTACGTACAGTCAGTGTATCAGACGATGTTCCAGCTTACTTGGCCCCACTCTCACTGGGTGATGTTGCCACCTTGCATGGAAGAAAACCATTTCTAGGAAAGAGAGAAAATGAAAATGTGGCATTACACTGGAGGAAGTTTGAAAATAGTCCGAGCAAAGGTATTTGAAATTTAAACCTGTCTAATGGAGTAACCTATAGAAAACGATTTATATTTCTATACAACCCATTTATCCCATTGTATAGTCACTTTACAATATGTCGTGCTTGAGGCTTTTCCCTGAATATTAAAGGATTTTTATAAAATGATAGTAATTATAATATTTGGTTCTGGAAGAATATCTTACTTTATCAAATTTTACTTTTTACTGACAAGTTGAGCAAAATTTTTCACGCAGAACAAAAACTATTTCCAGCTGTTTATCCTCTCTTGCTTTAAATTGTCTACGTTTGTCAAATGAATTTATTCCTCATGTACACATATTCTGCATTTTAATTCCCCTGTGTCATTTTTCACATTATCATATTTGCCTAAAATGTCATTCTTATCTCCATTCCCATTTTTATCTAAAAATGCATTCTCCATAGACATCCTTAAATGCACAGCTCAAATATTATTGTCTTTCCCCAGTTGAATGAACCTCGACCTTATTAGAACTCCCACAGACCTTTTCTTGTCATATATTCTGAGACTCACATGTATAACCAAGTGGCTAATTCTATCCCCTGGCCTTTGATGTTTGAAAACAAGGGAAATGTTTTATCTATGTGAGTATGTGTTTACTTATATTAATCATCATCTTCCTTGTGTATGTAATAGACATTCAACTATTAACTTTTAATTAATTGCTCCTTACTCTACCCTGGCGTAACTGGACATTTAGTTAGTACTGCCATCACTGACATTCCAATAATTTACTATTTCTTCCCCATTAAAACACTTATTACACTTGGCTTCGAGAGCACCCTTCTCTCCAGTTTTCCTCTTCCAGTAGGTCCCAGAAATTAGGTTTCCTCCTCATTTCTTATAACAATATAATGCAGGATGGCACACCTCTTGACCATCAGCTATTTTCTATTAGAGTAACTTCCATTAAGATCTAATTTAGTTTTATTCCACAGTGTTGTTCTTGGAATGACAAATTTATATTTTGGCTCAGACTTTGCACTGAGTGCCACATTTATAACTGACTCTGGGTTTGACTCATTCACTTAAGAGTGTGAACAGGGTACTTACCACCCGCGATTCATTCCCACCATTTCTTCTCAGGTAAGACCAACATCCTACCATTTTCTAATTCAAAGGACTTGGAGTTACCGTTACTTTACCCTTGCTCCCTACTCCACATCAAGTGCGTTAACAAATTCTATTGGCTCCAACTTCAAGATACGTCCAAAATGAATCTAAAATATGACCAACAGACTCCATCTCTACTTCTAAACTACTGCTTTAATACATTATAAGTCCCTTAAGTTTTATTGCAATGAAATCTTCATTTATTCCATCCCTCTCTTTTGTCTACTCAAAATACCAGCCAGAGTGATTCTACTAAACAGTAAATCCGATGATGTCTCTTCTCTACTCAAAACCTTCCAGTAACTTCCATATTACTTTAATAAAAGCCAAAATCACTGAAGGAATCAGCAAAATCCTATGTGATCTTGTCCCATGTCAGCAGTGAGACCTCCCTTCCTCAGTTTCTCCCTCACACCATGGTGGCCTCCTGAGTGTGGCCCAAAAATCCTAGGCATGTTTCCACCTGTTGGACTTGTCTCTGCTGTTCTCTCTGAAATGTTCTTCCCCTAAAGCAAGTGAATCCCTTACACACTTCTACTGGGTCTTGGCTAAAATCAGCTCTTTTTGCTTTGAGTGCTTCCCTCTTTGCCCTTTGTAAAAGTGGAAAACCAGACACATGAAACTGCCTGCTCCTGGTCCCGCCTTAATGTTTCTTCAAAACACTTATGCCCCTCTAGCATACAAAGTGTTTTGCAAATGCATTTTAAGAAATTATTCTTTTCTTTCCATTAAGCAAGAAAACTCCACAAAGGTAGGGGTTTCCATTAGTTTTATTCACTTCTGTACTCTGGATAACTTGAATAACAAAATATATTTAAAACTAGTGTGTCGTAGGGGCTTAGATATATTTTGTTGATGAAAGAAATGAAGTAATTCAAAGAAAATTGCTAAATAACTTATCAACATTTTGGGGAGCCCTATTTCTGACCTTTTACAGCTTTCTCAACCTTCAGATGCAGAGGAAAATCTGGCCCCTTTGTCATCATCATCATCATCATCATCATCTTTGTCCATCCGAACAAAACTGAGCCCTATCTGCATAAGAATGTTTAGGTCACCAACAGATGGCATATACAACAGTGGTTCCATAAGATTATAATATCATAGATTTACTGTATCTTTTCTATGTTTAGATATACAAATACTTGCCATTATGTTACAATTGCCTACAGTCTTTTGTACAGTGACTTGGGGTAAAGGTTTGTAGCCAAAGAGCAATAGCTCTATCATATGGCGTCGGGGTGATTTAGGCTATACCGCCTATGCTTGGGTACACACTGTGTTACACTCTCATAATCATAGAACCATCTAAGGCCCCATGTCATAGAATGTATCCCTATTATTAAGCTACATAGGACTGAATAGAGAAGTTATTTTATTGGAGAGGAAAACTACGGAAGTTTACTCCTTCAAATAACCAGAAAGTCACTGAATAATTGATTTTTTGTTTTACTTGAGAAAAATCTAGGTTTTATTTGCTGTTCTCTATGTATTAATTATGTAACTTCGTTCTGAGCCTCTGGACCTGAGCTACAAAACTGAAGTAGTAACATATTCTCAGTCATTCGTACAAAGGAGCTGAGTAAATAAAACAGAACAACCGGTAAAAACATGATTCAATTATTAAAGAGTAATAAATAGAACATGGAAAACTGAATATGCAGATAGCGTAGTTCAGGTTTACTTTACTTATGTGAAAAAATGGTATGTTTCCATTTATATAGAGAGCTTACCACCAGTGATCTTCAGATGTCTGCCTTATCATAAAGTAAATTTGTGGCAGACCCAGCAAAAAGTTCTTTTGAATTATAAAGTAGATTGCTTTCCACAAAAATGAATATTGTTGGTGCCTAAAAACAGGCAGCTTATGTTTGCCTGATTTACAGAACCTGGAAAATGTGTCATTTTGCAATAATAATATTAACAATAGCATCTAACACCTTTTAGCCCTTACTATACATCAGGTGCTACTCTGTTAATACCATTTATTATTTCATTTAGTTCTCAACGCTTTGTACTTGCAACTATAATCATCTTCACTGAAAAATGAGAACAAAACAAGCATAGGCAGATTAAATAATTTGCACAAAGGAAAAACAGTCAAGTGGAGAAACTGGTATGCTAATTTAGGCAACTCTTTAACACAAAAACTAATTTTAATTTAAAATTAGAAACACATCATTATTTTTAAAAGCCAACCACTAGAACTAACTGAGAAAGTATGGAGAGAATTAAAAACAGAATAACTTATATTATGGTAACATTCTTTCGCACCTGGCTACTTTATTGCAAGTTATTAAGTAAGAAATGTCTGATTTCCTTTATTACGTTTGACAGTTTACATTTCTGACATCTCACTTTAACACTTGTTTGATTGTTATTGTGAAGGTACATCCTCATTCTTTCAAACACATATTTTGTCTTGGGATATTTTTTTAGAGCAATTTTTTTTGTGAAACCACACATAAGTAAAAAATGTGCATGATTTTTGAATACTAGTTGCATCCTGAAACCAAGGTAGTGCAGACTGGTTCAAATGTCAATGAAATGTTTAGAAAGGGTGTGGCTAATGAACGCACAGTATGTCCATGGTTTGAGAAGTTCTAGTCTGGTGATTTTAATCTTGGAAATGAATCATGCAGGTGAACTCAGACCAAGGTGGATAATAATGAACTGGAGGCTGTTGGGAAGTGAATCCATCTCAACCCACACATGAATTAGCAGCAAGGTTTACCCTGACTGTTTCAACAACACTGGACCTTTTGAAACAGATTGGCAAGGTAAAAAAGCTGGATAGACGGGTTCCACGTGAATTAAATGAGTATCAGAACAGAAATCATCTCAAAGCTTGCCTTCCTTTGCTGTAATGACAAAAAGGTGAACAATTTCTACACTGTATTGTTACAAGTGCTGAAAAATAGATTATTTTTGACAATTGCAAGCATTCAGCACAATGGCTAGATAAAGATGAAGCGCTGAGACCCAGTCCAAAACCGAATACTCATCAAAAAAAGCTAATGGTGTCTGTCTGGTGGTACAGCACTGGCTTTGTCCACTACACACAGGGTTGTCCAACCTGCATCTTGGGGGCCAAATGCTGATTTTTGTGAGGACTTTTTTTGCTTCTTTGCACAGGCTTTCTCTTTTTTTTTTTTTTTGCTAATTAGCTTTCATTAGTGTTTGTGTATTTAATGTGTAGCTTAAGACAACTCTTATTCTTCTAATATGCAGACACCCCATGCACTACAGAGTTGTGAAACCTGGTCAACTGATTATACTGGATGTCTACTGCAACCAATTGCATGACATGATGAGGATGCTAGTGGTTAAGCAGCAGAGATTGGTCAAAAGAGACAGCTCAAATCCTCTTCTAAGACAATGGTATTGCACAAACAACACTGCTCAAACTACAGAGGCTAGACCCGGAAATTCTGTCATCCACCATATTCAGTAGACCTTGCACCAACTGAGTACCACTTCTTCCAGGCTTTGGACCATTTCTTGCAGGAAAAATACTCAATTCTCAACAAGCTGTCAAAATACCTATTGTAATTTCCAGGCTTCTTTGCTCCTGGTGCACAGAGAATACTGGAGAAGCAAGAATCCTATGTACTCAATTCTCATATGAGGACAGTTGATTACATAGTACATGGTGGGGCATGGGGGAAGGGGAGAGCAGAGAGAGGGAAGGAGGAAGGGAGGTGGGGAAGGGGAGAGCAGAGAGAAGGAAGGAGAGGTGGAAGAGAAGAGAAGAGAGAGGGAAGGCGGGAGGGGGTGGAGGAAAGTAAGAGCAGAAAGAGGGAAGGAGGGAGAAGGTCATAGTGTGTGACACGTCTTTTGGGGATGGGACACCATTATAACAGGGACTTTACCTAACAAATGCAATCAGTGTAATCTGGTTCTTTGTACCCTCGATGCATCCCCAATTAAAAAAATAGATGAGAAAACTGTGTCAGCAGTGCAGGCACAGACCAATTAATTGTAATGCTTTTTTTCTGAGATATAATAAACTTTTGACTCAAATTTGGACATTTCCTATTCAATGACCTAATAGTTAGTTGTGAAGGACTCAGTCTCGTCTGTAACCCACTCGCCTTTGTAAGAGCTTCCATGAACGGGCTCAGTTTAATATCAGAGAGTAATAGCTCTAATTCACTCTGTGATGAACAGAAACCAATAAAAGAGTTATGACAAATGTCCATCTAATTGGAAGCATCATTGCCTGAAGTTATTTTAAAAGAATCACTTGAGGATGGTCTTGTTTCAGGACTGATCCTGCACTAGCAGAACGGGGCAAAGATGAATGAACAGGCCCATGTCTCCCTCCACTTCTGACAGTTCTTTTCCGCCTGATAAACAGCTATTTGGGCAGAGAAGAAAAAACGCTTAATCTCCTTCTGACTTTTCTCCATTTGGATGAGGGCACTACAATGATTCTAAACTGTCACGGTGAAAAGACTCAAGAGAAGGGTGAGGGAATCATATAGATAGCTCATTGTACTTGACAGAAAAATGAGAAAAACTTTTAAAGTATGCCTGTCTCATGTCCAGTAGAGATTTTTTACAAATTATCGTCCTCACTGTGGCCGTAGGTAGCACATGTTCAGCACATACTATGAGGTCCATATTTTCATCGGTACATTAGATGATTTGTTTTGATTTGGTGTTGTGAAGATAATTTTAATAATGCCATTGGTTAGATAGAACTAGTTTGGATGGACATGATGTCCCTAAGAATATAATCTAGATGAGGGAGACTTATCACACTAAGGCAAGAAGGAATTAAATGCTTGGTCCCAGATCACATAGGTGAAATGAAGAACTTCTACCTGAAATTTCCCCAGCTCCCTTGATTTCTATGAATTTATCCTTAATGGAGAGATTTATTTAATCATAGGAATGGCAAGCTTTTCTCAAACTAGAAAATGCTATAACATAATGATTCTTTCTTGCAAATGCATTTTTTTTCTGGCTGGGGCTAGGTTTGAATCTGCCACGTCCAGCATATGGGGCCGGCGCCCTATTCCTTGAGCCACAGGCACCACTGCAAATGCATGTGTTTAAACACAACCTAAACCTGATAAAAGTCTACAATTCTATTGAAGGTGAGGAGGTGGGTGGCCACCCATGATTTTGGCAAGTAGACAAAATATTAAAATGATATTTATATAATTATATAATGTTATATGAACATTCTTATGATACAAGGATGTATCATAAGAATGATGTGTGAAAAAGGAAATTTCAAAATGGCACATAGTCTATGATTCTGTATATGGTGTATGTCTGTCCATGTACAAAGACTAGATGGATGAACAAAAAGAATTTTCTCATGGTTAGTTGGAAACAGTATAAGAGTGAGCCAGAGCCGGGCATTGTGGTGGACACCTGTAGTCTCAGCTACTCAGAAGGCTGAGACAAGAGAATTGCTTAAGCCCAGGAATTGGAGGTTGCTGTGAGCTGTCACGCCACAGCACTCTACCCACGGCGATAGCTTGAGGCTCTGTCTCAAAAAAAAAAAAAGAGTGAGCCAGATAAATAAAAATGGTGACCTAGAAGCAACTTGCCAACACACCTCTCCCAAGGGAAAAAGTGAAAATCGTAGCAGCTCCTTCCTATGGATCTCGCTTCTCCAAAGGAACGTTGTGGAATCACAGAGAAGCAATGGGGGGACATTTACTGTGGAAGAAACAAAAGGTGATGGTGCAATATGTTAACAAGATAGAAGTAAACACAGGGAAGAATCAGAGGATAGAGTGTTGGGGTGCTGCTCTCACCCTACGGGCGCTTTGTGGTGCAGGGAGTATGTATCCCTCCACTGCCCCAGATCGCTCCCTTGCCTTACCAGGGACCTCCCTAAAGTCTGTGTGGAGCCACTGCACCAGATAATGGCGGGCGGGTGGGAATGGGGCAGCTGCAAATCATCCTGAGCTTTCAGTTTTTGCACAGCAGTAGGTTGGCACCAGGCTGGGGTGGAAGTGGACTAAGTGGAGGTTCCCCTTAGCCATGCACTGGGACTGGAAGCCAAACACCCTTCCCTGAAGCACAGGGGGACATGGGAATAAACTATGGCTTGGTAGGCTATGAACTGGGAGGCTTCGGGGTAACTGCTGCAGCAGGTCTGTGGAGGGACGAGAGAGCTCCAAGGTCCCTAGGCCACGGGAACTGACCTTTACCTGCAGGATGTGGTATCCACATAGTTTCTGCTCCTCCTATAGAACAGCCTCCCACTTCCTTGGCCCCAACTGTCCTTGGCCTGCTCAGCCCTGCCCCACCCTCCAGTTCAGATCAGCACCACCGCCTACTTGGCCCTGATTCTGGCTAACACTCTCTGCTCACTAGCTCAATGTCATGCTTCACCTCAGGCCTGGCTCTGAGGCTCTCACGAGGGCCTGAAGAGCTCTGTGCCTCCTGAGCTCCTGCCAGACCCTTGGCACCATCTGAAAGACTCCAGCACTATACCTGGGCCACATTACCCTCCGTTGGAGACGGTACCAGCACCATTGCAGGGGTGGAGGAACTTCTCCCAAGTCCAGCACCATGCCAGGGACCCTCATCCTTGAGCTGCCAGTACAATGTGACCTAGTTCAAGGAAACACAGCCTGGGAACCAGCTGCTACTGTCACCTCTGCAGGGAGACTCCAGGTAGAGTAATCTTTATATCATCAGCCTAAGGGAGGAGGGTCTAGTCCAATTTCCAAATGGAACATCCTACAACCAACTGGTGAACAATCCAACACCAACACAAACAGCCTCAGCACAGGATTAAGCAGGGGTAACCACTGGTAAACAGAAAAAATCCAAATACCCATATTATAACATCCCTCTCTTTTTCCAGGTCAACATTCCATAGTAAGGGAGAAAAGTGCCCTCTAGTGACCTCCCCATGTTCTAATCAAGTTGAGGAGTTTCCAGCAAAGAAAAGGCACCCTGAAAACCTGTTAGCCCTGTTCTGAGAAAGGAGGTTTCATATCAGATGAGAACAAACCCGCAAAACAACCCTGGAAGCATGAAAAATCAAAACAGACCAACATTCCCAAGGGATCAGAACAGAGCTATAGCAGTATGCTCCATCCACAAGGAAAGTGTCTAAAGGACAGAAATGGAATTCAGAATGTGGATGGCACATAAGAGGTATGGAATTAAAGAGAATGTTGAATGTTCATTCAGAGAATCAATGAAAAAAATGACTAAATAACGAAACAACATTTATTGCAGCACAGTTCACAATTGCAAAGGTGTGGAATCAATCCAAGTACTAACCAATTCATGAGTAGATTTAAAAAATGTGGTGTATGTATCCCTTGGAATATACTCAGCCATCAAAAGAGATGAATTAATGCCTTTGCAGCAATTTAGAATAACTGGAGACAATTATCCTCCTAAATGAAGGATCTCTAGAATGGAGAAACAAACCCCACTGATACTCTCTAATAAATTGTAACTAACTTATATCTACACAAATACACAGAGAAAAGTAAAGGGCTTTGAAAATCAAGCGCAGTGGGAAGGACACGGGCAGGGAAGGCGAGTACCCACCCAGGGGAGACAGTGAACACCACTTGGGTGATGGACGTATTTATAGCCCTGACTCAAGCCATGTGTCAAAAATATCTTTATTTCCTTAATATTTTGAAAAAATGTAAAAGACTGCGTTTATATTGGACATTAATGTCTTTACAAAATTGTTTATGGTATAAATTTTCAATTTGATTTCACGTTAAAAGTAGCATAATTATACTTATGAAATTCAAAGAGAGGTTCTGGTTTTGATGCTCAGGTAAATGTGGCCGAAAACTGTCTCCTCAATGCTCACTATAAATGAAAACTTTAAAATTATTATGTCTTCTTTGCATAACTATAAAATCAAACCACACATGCCAGTTAGTAATTAATTCTTATTCAATTTTTCCCTTGGAACTTGACTTACTATAAAGGCTGAATAACTCAAGAAATGAAAAATGCCTTAATTCATTCCCTTGTCCATTCATTCAACATACATTAATTAACTGCTCACTCTGTTGGAGGCATTATTTTAGGAGCTGTGGATTCAGCAGAAGATAAGACCATTTGCAGCTAGCTTTGTGCTTTCAACAGTCCAGAGTATGAGGAATTTAACTCGATGACAAAGGAAAGGGATGAAGGAAAAACTTAAATCTAATTTGACACCCTCATCCCCACTGAAAATACAGCCAAGCAGAGGAAGGTTGCGAAGTCTTGTTCCTGTGACATCTTGTTCCTGTGCAGATGTTTCCAGAATTAAATGTTGTGGGAATCAATTTAGAAACATTGTAGTTTTCTCCTCGGCTCCCTTCATTCAATCCTGTGTCACTGGATCATCTGTTTTAGCAGCAAAAAGTCATCCTGATGGCAGAGACTTGTTTATTTCACCACTTTCTTCTCAAGCACCAAGGACAGTACCTGCACTACATCCAGGAGAGAGAGACCAGTGCTGGATTGCCATGCGACAGAAATGAGTCAGGCTTATTTCTGTTTCTCAAGGGCATTTGTCTACTATGTAGCTAAGTGTACTGATTTACAAAACACGTGTTATGTGTTAGACCCACAACACAGGACTACAGGTGCTCGCCACAATGCCCGGCCATTTTTTGGTTGCAGCCGTCATTGTTGTTTGGCGGGCCTGGGCTGGGGATTCGAACCCGCCACCTT